AAGGTCTCGTACCAGGCGCTCTTAATAATCTGGCGAAAGTATTGAATGTGCGTTTCGGCAAAATAAATACGAACCACAGTCATCTCCGACTGAGAGGATGAGTTCGAGTTGGCGTTGGCGTTGGCGTTGGCTTGGCCGTAACTGTTATTGCCAGTAGGTCCAAGGATGCTTCGCCTGCAAAATGAAAAACTTTTACGATCTCTTGGCAAGGAGTCAACGTGAGCCCCCGGGAAAGGGGTTGAGCAAAGGAGTGATTCCATATGGAAATTGAACTCAATTGAAGGCGCAGCAGAAGCACAATTTCCACCGCCATGAATTCATGTTTCCAGCGGACTTACGGCGGGGACTTCGATGTGCTCGGCAGGGCCAAAGTCATGGAACCGCGCACACTGTAGCGCGTCTCCGAGCAGGAGGCCAGACACTGCGGACAGTAGAGGGCATCCTGCATCTCGTGCTCCAGGCCAGTGACATTCTCGCGACTGGTGATGACATTCAACCATTTAACTGGACACGGGCACATCGCATATACATAAGTAATGCAAGTACTCGTATATTTCAGATTGAATGAATTTCAGATTAACTCACAATCGTAGCGTTTGAGGCACTCGACATGCTGCAGCGTGCAGTAGAGCCGACTCTCATTCCCACCGATGTACCGCAGGGGCAGTGAGAAGGGAAGGCACTCGCAGAGGCTGACAACACTGCGTGCCCGGCAGGCGGAGATGCACTTGCTGAAGGTATAGCGACGGGCAAAGATCCATGGCATTTCGTCCTCAAAGAGACACTTGCGCTGGTAAATCATCGAAGGAGTGACTGATTGATTTGGTTAGCAGATTGAAGGATACCTACCACCGACATACTCATCCTGCGGGCTTCGGGCACCGTTTCAAAGATCTTGGCCTTTATGGGCAGCAAGGTGTTCACGCCCGTCTTGGCCATTCTTTCGGCCACTCCACCGGAAAACGGATCCGGATAGCTATGTGGCTCATAAATGGAAATCTGAAACAATATCCCCTTGGGCTATCCATATAAAGTACGAATGTTTCTATACCCCTTACCCTAAAACCCTTCTTTGGATTCTCTTTGTAGAAAATATCGCCGGGCAGTGACTTTAGAGTCAGCACAAGGCCCATTTCGGGTCCAAAGTAACGCTGTCGAAAGTCCCGCTTGTTGACATACCTACAATGATGTGATTATACAACATTTTTATAAAAGATTGTGCCAATGGTTCGGCGGACCTTCCATCATAGTTGAACGTGCAACAGTAGCCATGGCTTGTGAGGGTCTCCTCGAACTGCTGTAGACAATCGAAGGTGCGCCCTGCAATCCGGCAGGATACAAACATGTCGCTGCAGTTGGGTGTGAGGAGATGCATGCGCCTTCTCGTATTGAAGAAGAGCTCATTTGCCTCGACATCGAATTTATCGAGAAAGCTCTGAAAGCGCAGCGCATTGTCAATATCCGTTGTCCCATGGGGATTGTAGAACAAATTAAAAAAGTCCTTCAGCTGGTCATAGAAGAAGCTAGCGTCGCGCTGCTTGGGATCCTTGCCGCTCCTGCAAAGGATTACAGGATTGTCCGTAAGTCTTTTATCCCAAAACAACATTCGGCTTACAGCTCTTGGGCATAACGCCAGGCAGCCCGCTCGGATATGCGATTAAAGGAGCACACGGATATCGCCGGGAACTGCACCTTCCAAATGGGATAGAGCGGATGGTAAATGGTGGTGACCAGAGCGTCCTGGACCTCGTTCGTGTAGGTCCCCCAGAGGAATGCAATTAGAACGCTCAGGGCAGTTATGTGGAAAATGAGCCAGAAGAAGCTGCGGGTGGTTAACGGTTTCGGTAATGGCTAATGCTAATTGAAAAGGTTGCTGCTGGATGGAGCCCCCCACTTCCCACTGTCCACTGCTTACCGCTCCTGAATGCGACGGCCGTGCTCGACTAATTTGCCATAACAATGAAAGGACAGGTTCTGCAGAAAATCCTTTAAAGCGGCAGAAAATGGCAATTTTCGCGTATCCTCTGCTGAAGTCGCGGCGGCGACCATGACCGTCGCGTTCGTCACAGCCGCAGGTGCGTGTCGAGTGGATTTGCGATGGCATTGCGGTGGCTCTGGTCCTGGATGGGGTATCCACCAGGCAGCTCTCCCCATGACCAGTCGAACGGGCAGTGTCTCCTTTGCCATCGCTGTTCCGATTGCAACTGTTGGACGCTACTGGAAACCGTATGCTCCTGTTCCGTGTCGGATACTGGATCCATTGTCCTCGCACCCGACTATGGCGTAGCGTACGCTTTCTGGCTCATTTTAATGAAAATTTCGCAGTCATGTCGTGCGTGTTGTTGTAATTAGGCCTTGTGTTCCAACTTATTGCCAACAAATTAACTGCGACATGGCACGTGGTGTTCGTTCAACGTTGCAGGAGTGGGAAATGCCAGAGGAACTCACTCCCTCTCTCTCTCTCTCTCTCTGTTGGTCTCCTGCTCTCGTCTCGATTCGTCTTGGCAATTCCCCTTAATTGTCAACAATTTAAAATGAAATTAGTTAAATGCGCGTTAAATGTCAGCCAGCGGAAACATCATCATCATCAGCAACAGCAACAGCAGGAACAACAGTTGTGTCCTTGTGTATTCTTTCCACCAAAAAAAACAAAAAAAATCATGTTTTCGCCGCCCTCTCCTTTGGATTATGAACTGGGCGGGCAAATGGAGGACACGTGTTGGTTCTGTATATAGAAATTCAGATTTGTTCTGACTAAAAAAGTGGATTATATGCCTAGGGCCTGGTCCTTAAGAACACATTTTTAATGATGATGAGCTGCAAAGCCTTGAAGACTAAATAATTAAATCATTTGAAAACAAAGCAAATTTTGAATTTCATACCACAAAAAACTTGAATGATTTGTTGTTGTCTTAAGTGTCTGTAAGTGGATAAACGAATAGCTTGTACTTCATTCCATTTGTTTGACTCTACAGGGTGTCTGGGGTCTCTACAGGGGCTCCTCATCTTAACGGAATACATGCCGCTCTGTCATCAAGCTGCAGCACTTGAATGCGTTGATGTAAGGGTCGATTCACCATAGTGTTACTGATGATTGATGCATTCACATGCACATGACACAGGGTGCAGTGCAGTAGACAATGCCATTGAGGCATCCGAATAATCAATGATATGCGGATGGAATGCATCAGATGGCAAACCAAAGAAAGATCTAGTTTCTTACTGATGTCTCGCTGATTGATCTAAGAACATTATACACGCCTGAAGTCCAATCCATTGCCTTGTTGACGCCAAGAAAGGCAATCCGCCAAGACAAATAGTTTGATAAAAAGATGGCAAAGGGGGATGGACTCGTGTCGGTAGGGGGATAATTCATGAATGGAGATGCATGAAAATTCAATGGTTGAAACATATTGACACACCCGGAAATGGCACATTTTCAACGGAATAAAGTGAAGGATCCTTCAGATTGGTGACAAAGGATTGTGCGACAAATTGCTCCCCAGGTGAGTGAGAGACTACCACCAGAGCGGGACGAAAGGCAGCAGCAGCCAAATTAATCTGCAAATAAGCAGGAGACAGACCAGGAGGCAGGCAGGGAAAGAGACAGCAGAGTCAGAGGCAAAGATAAACGCACAAAGCGCAAATATTCTGGGTATGAGGTTGCCAGCATGGGCGTAGGACTGGGAAGGTGGTATTCTTTTCTCTTTTTGAGGTAGAAGCGGAAACGGAAATGAAAAATGTGAAAAATGCAGTGCGCAGCGAGTCGCGAAAAACGAGAAAACGACAGTAACATTCAATGGAGAGCGGAAACGGGAGGGGGGAAGCGAGAGGACCTCCAAGAGGCACTGCAGTGAAAATTGCAAATGCAAATTGTCTATGGAGCCCATATGTGGACGTGGACCCCTTCCTGTGTCCCCCGTATGTGCGTGTGCGTGTGCGTCCGTTGCACGTTGCGTATAAGCAACATCGATGCCGACTTGCCTTTTATCTTGCCCTCACCTGTACCTCAGGTCCCCAGTGCCAGTCTCCATTTCCCCCATTCCCTAGGCCCCCTGCAGCGTTCATCTCGGCGCCAATAGTTTGCCGTATCTGTTCGCGGGGATATATGGCGCCGTAAATCTGTCATAACCAGACAAAAGCTCAAGCCAAAACGATTTCTGCCTGCTCTGGTGCGGCAGCTTCTATACGCAACAGAGGGAAGTGTGTTCCATCCACAAGGATGAGCTCTGATAATTTGATTATCAATATTTGTTTTATTTTATTAATTGGACTATGCAAAGTTAATTAACTTTTACTTTATTATTAATTGAGATTTTGAGATTAACATATGATATATCGTACGAAAAGACTTTTTGGCATGGCATCAAATTCACAATTGAGCCATTATTGCTTCAACATTTCGTCCACCGGCCCGAGAATATTTAAATTTTCATGGGAAACCGCCAGGAGAAAAAAACAAGCCTAATCGATAAGTCTGGCAGCCCCAAAAAGGAACATAGCATACTTGTAGGCAAAGTTTGCACCTGACAAAAGCTAAATGCTACAAAAGTGGCCGGCGACAGAAAACGTTTCTTTTCAAAACGTCATTTTGTGCTGAAAATGTTTAATGTCGGTATTTGGTATAATTTTAAGTTCATTCGGTTCAAACCAGTGACAATTAAATGAATTGTTGAACTCAGAAATCCAGTTCTGAATTGCACGCACCGGAACTAACTCAAGTGGTGATTTAAGACCAAGTCAAGCCAGTTGTAAGTTCTTATCTCTGATCAGATGACATGTTAATCAGATAAAATAAAATGTAATTAATCACATTACAGCTTTTTTAACCGTTTATTTTGCTGTAATCATATTTAACACATTGCAGCAGTGAAACACAAGGTATTAAACGATGTCGCACTCGAATGGTATCTTGAAAATCCCCATAAAAAGTGGAGGCGCAGTTGAAAAAGGATACAAATCTTGGAGATATTTCAAATATACTCTCAATTTTATCAAAATTATAAAAGATTTGGTAGATCTGGTAAACGTCGATAGTAGATTGGTCTTCCATTTGTATCTTGTAGGTCGCGATAGTTGTTGATCAAAGGTCTGGAGCGTGAATCTCTAAGGTTGAACAATCTCTCTATAAGTCGATACTGCAGCTCGAGAACATCTGGGAACACAATCCAAGTAACAGCCTCAGCACAGTCCGGTGTAGTCAGCGATCCTAAACAGAGGTTAAGGAGAGTCGAAGATACCAATATCGAACATTTTCTGGGACTGAGAGTGGACTAACCATTATAGGTGAAGAACTCCCCCGTTACGACAGATCCCAGCAGCTGTGCAACCTCCAAGCGACCATTTATTGTAGCATTAGTGTTGTATTGAACTATGCGGGGCACCCGATTGAAGATCTTGGTGAGGCCGGAGTTCCTGGGGTTTTGCCTCCTTCCGGGGCGGATCAGCACACCAAGCACGGCGAGACCATCCCGATGCTTACTGGCCTCCGAGGTGGTGGCGTATCGTGTATTCTTGTGCACGATATGCATCTCCACCTGTGCTTTTTCGATATTATAGTTCACCAAATGCTCCACGCCACTGGAGTTCCTCGATCCCCAATGGAAGTGCACGCTCTGGGCCTCAAAGTTGCCCGGCAGAAGAGCGCCATTGATGTAGGCACGCGGCCCCAACTGGGTGGGTGGTATGACCATGTTGGCTGTTCAAAATCAAGTTCAATCATTAGCTCAAAAGATCATTCAGTCACTCACCTGTGTGGCCATTGTTCATCAGGACAAGAGGCGTTTGCAGGGTTTCATTATAATAGTGGAAGCGAATGCGTGGAACATACATATCTTCGGTCTGTGGAACATTTCCCCAGCTGGTTATATTCCTCGTTCTGTCAAGATTTCAAACTTACTTCCTCTACATTGAGAGCAATAGGTGACTGTGCCTGTCCCGTCTGACATAGACCCTCCCAGTCATCGCCCTGCTGATCGTAGTTATAGTCTCCGGCTGCCTGGTCATCCGCCTGATCCAGCCTTATGGCAGTCAGATATTCCTCAGATATATCTAAGGGAAAGCTATAGACAACAGGTCCGAAGCAGAGGCATCATCAATACGTACGAATCAAGGCGCTGGAGCAGGTGAAGACCACAAGCAGAAGCAGGCAGCCGAGAGCAGGCAAAGGATGATACATTTTCTAATGATTTCAGCCCGTTCTGTTCGCGCAGGAGACTGCAAGAAGACTGTAATTCTCCCAGAGCCAGGCAGGACCATTTATACTGGCAGCAGCGGACCAACACCAGCATCAGCCCACTTGCATCAGCAATAACTTCTAAATGGGCGTGTATATAAGTCTGGGTCTGATAAGCGCAATCATTTGCAGATTTGCCGCACGGTGGCACCTTTTGAAAATTAAAACTAGCAAAAATGCATCCATTCTTAATAAACACACAAGACGTCCTCAGAATAATACCAAAAAGTATTCCAAATTCAATTCGTAAGTCAAAGAAAATTGTTTTCTTTCAGAAATCCAAAGTACATAGCCATCATTGTTTTGTGAGGCTTTTCTTCAAAATCCTGAAAAGGCACCACTGTGCGGCATCGCAGCAATACTCTAATCCGCCCATGGGCTCAATTTACGTAGAAGCTATGCAGCTAGAAAACCAGATAGGCAAATAATTGAGTTTTGCCGCATCCACAGCGTGTAATTAATGGCCACTTCATTTACCGGCTTTTGGTTTGATTTATAAATAAATAGGAAAGAAGAAAGGAGAGCAAGCTTCAAAGACTCAAGCATTTGATACCCTTGCAGATGCATCGGTTTAAAGTTCAGTCTACGATCTTAATCTGGAATGGCTGTCTACAGCCTGCTGCAGCTGCAAAAACGGTATAGTGATCGATCTTCAGTCTCAGAACTGAAGAAATAGTCTGTATAGACATGGATGACAAATAACTTGTATACTTTATAAAATCAACATAATAGCAATACCCTCTGGAAGGGTATAAAAAGAGAGGAGTAACAAATTGCATTGGCAATTATCCAGCAGCGCGAATCAAACTACAAATTACCAAGGTGTCGGATCAAATGGAGAAGGAGAACGAACTCCATTTCAGATCAATACGTGTCTGGGTAAGCTTTTGGCTGTCACACTGTCGGAGAGTCATTATATTGTAACTTCCCACGTGACACAAATTGGCACGTAAGCTATTTGGTATCGGTAAAAATTAGGGCTCTATTTGCCTAAGTACTTTTCCGGCTGATAACTCTTGGAGGTCATCAATAGAACATTTGTTGGATATAGTATCATTTCTATGAATTATATTTGTATACCTAAATTTGTAGTTTAAGAAAATGCAATAACCATTAGTGCAATTCCGATTCTGTACCGATTAGTTTCTGCTTGGGTAACTGATCTTGGGTAACATTTATTCTTAGTATATCTCTGACTTATGCCTCGACTCTGGTGTAGTAATTATTATCGCTGCTTAAGGTTATATTGTGATTATAAAATAAAATCCAGATGTCATACCTTGAATTCTTCATAACAGATAGCTTTTCAGGATAAGTATGTATGTACGATATTTACATTGGGGGTGGGGTATTCTCTATTTAGACTTCGGTCATAATAACAGGCATAATGGTAATAATATTTAACATTGAAGCCATCCTGAAAAATACTTTAATGTCTTATTTAAACAATCTCCAATTTATTACATACACCCATAATCCACATCTCTTTAACTGACATTAACTTCGCATTCAGAATGTGTTCATCCTGTAACAGAGGCTTTATAGGAAGATATTGAGTTTTTTTCAAACGGAAACACTCAACACAATTTTATTGTAAAATTCTTGTATCCTTTTATTGTAAAATATGAAATAAATAATAAAAATAGGTATATTTTTCGCTCCCATCTTTGGTCCTCTCCTCCAATGATCATTACTAGCCGAGCAAATTGTTTATCTGATTCGGGCTGGTACGATAGTACACGGGCCGGTTGTTCCTGGGCTGGATGTTTCGATAGTTGTTGACCAATCTGTAGCCGTCAGAGCTGCGTAGGTTCCAAAACCGCGAGACCGCTGCAAAGCTTATGGGCAGGGGCTGGGAGAACACGGTCCAGGTAACAGCCTCCTCGCAATCGGGCGTCGTCAACGATCCCCTGTACGTGAAAAAGTCGCGGGTGTTCAAATTTCCGAACACTTGTCCCAATGTTAGACTGCCCAAAATTGTCGCTTCCTCTTTGTATTTCTTAATTTTTGGAAGCTGGGCAAAGATTTTGTTCAGACCGGGAAAAAAGGCATCTGGTGTCTGAAAGCCGAAGGGTTATGTTTGAATTCACTTAAGGATCAAAACGTTTCTAGGAAAACGTACTTGGACAATTTTGAACATTACTCCAAGCACAGCGACGCCATCTTTATACTTTAATGCTTCGGGGAAATCGGTGTACCTTGAATTCCTATGAACAATGTGCATTTCCACATCATAGCGATGATCTTGGATCGAATGCTCGGATCCACGCCAGTTCGGCGATCCCCAATGGAAATGGAGACCCTCCGCAATGTACCGACCCTTGAGGAGCCCTCCAGTTATAAATGGTCTGCTGTTGTCAAGCGTCTCTGGTATGTCCATGTGAGCTGCGGAGTATCAGAGCTGATTAACATACGTATGGAAATGTATAGACATGACCTACCCGAATGCCCGTTGTTCACCAAGGTGAGTGGAGGTCTCAGCTTTGTGTCGTAGTTCCCGAAAGTAATCCGCGGCATTGCTGCTAAAAGCGACTGGCAGAAAGCATGAAGAAAATTTCAGGTTATTGAAATGAATTTCTTCCATATATGTATATGTATCACCCACCCCCTCAAAACCATTAACTCTTGTAATACGAAAAGTGTGCGTTAAAAGAGTTTCCAATTTGTCTCATTCGGAAGCAATTTGTTTGTACTCAAGACTTTAGTTTAAATCATCAAATTAGCTGTCAATGCGCAAAGCGGAAACAAATGGATGGTTATAGTCGGGTAAATTATTATTCAATTATCTTTAATATTTTTGGTAACTTCAACTATGAGCTTAAACATGTTAAAACACATTAAAGGGATTGGAAACCTCTCCAATGTTTGCTTTTACATGAATTTTTCTAATGTTTACTCAACTGATATATTTTTACAGCATTTTTCTTGCAACATCTAAGAGAAACAGTAGCGTTTTTCTTTCTATAATGCATTTTTTATGAGCTTGTTCATCAACCTTTTTAGAACTTAGAACTCACTTTTTGAACGGCCAATCTTATGGGGGATTGTCGTAGTCCCGTCCGACAAGTGCCACCCCAGTCGTTTCCGTTATATTCGTAGTTCCAATGATGCACACGATGATCGCCATCATCTGTAAAATCGATATTGAAGCAGAAACCAGGTCTGAGACAAATTTCACTTTCGTTCAACCGATAAGCGGCTCATAATCCTATTAGCGCAGACCATGAATAAGTTTTAAATTGGTTTAGATGTAATTTTATTCGACATCGATCGACTCTCTCATTTCTTTGGTTGCTCTCCAAACAAGGGCATGGAATGATTAATTATTATTGATTGTTAATGGGGAAAAGAGTTCGATTTGGAATGGTGTCCAGTAGATTTTACATTTCTTTTAAGATATGTCATTCAGTTTCACTTGGAGTTCTTTCCAATCGGATTACCATTATGCGGTAGTTGCGGCTTGTTGGTATAGGCAAGCGGCAGCAATAGTAAAAGTTTTTGAAAAATTCTCGATTCTGGCATTGTTTTACAGATGCAGATTTGCAATCTCCCGATTGTTCTGTTTATGGTTCTTTAATTGATGCTGGGAAACGGAATCGCGCGTGCTTGTCTTTGTCTCGGGTCGCTTTCAGTTTTGCATAATTTCTCATATGCGAATGCGAATATGAATACGAATACGAATACGGATCTCCCGGTGAATACTACAACTAACGGTGGCAACTGCTGCTGCTGTCGCTGGTGGTGCGGTCGTCGTACAACTGAAACGGTTCCCCCACATCTCGATAACTTTTATAGTGTCTTTAGTGACGACTATGACACGGTGCGAGTAGCTGGTGTATGCCACCGCAACGTCTCGGAATCGGGTTCGAATCGAAAAACCTAAGTGGAGCGATTATTAGTGGCAAATCAAACGCCAAACAGTAGCAGCAACTGGCAGTCTAATTGCAGTCGTTTCTTTTCGAAATGATAAATGATGGATTACTTGAAATCTGTGCAATATGGGGCGAAGAAAAAACATTTAATAAACGCTCTTGAAAGAATGGCCCGGCCCCGATGGAAATGCGGAAAACAGATCTTTGGGAGAAGGTGTCTGGGGTTCAACACGGCAAGGCTGTACGGTATGAAAAGTCCCTTTCCTTTCCCTCATGCAACATTTATTTTATTAGAAATAAATTCAAACTATTTGGGGAGATATGTTGCTGACCGACATTTACATATATGGAAATGTTTGATAAAAAACCATTAAGAAAGCAGATGTTGGATACGAAGTTAATATATGTACCCTTGAAGTTGGATGACTAATAAATTTTTATTTACTGAGCAGTAATTTTTTAGGCTGAAGGGATATGCGATATAACATTACTAAGAGAGCTCTATTGTGTATCCAGCTGATTCCAACAAATTAAATGCCAATAATATGCCACCTTTAGGATCTGATCTCGGTTCAATGTCCTTTGGAAATTTTGATATGCCTTATTTCAGGGTACACAAATTTCGCAAAAAAACCCAAAATATAAACGTTATATGGAATCCCCTCTGCTGTGACGACATTAAAGAAAGTAGCTGAAAAAATTAGCATTTTAATTAAAAGCCAAAATCAAAGTTAGGGCTAAACATTGGGCAGCTTTTCAGGGTCACTTAAGTCCTATGATAAATATGATTGATAGCTTTTTACCTCGAGGGAGACCCTCTCTCATCAGTTCCGCACACTTCGCATATTTTGCGTAATAACTTCTTTGAAAAAAATTTCGTAATATCCATAATGTTGTGGCATCCAATGGGAAGCGTGCATAAGAGGCGCCAATTAGGTATAACAATGGGCCAAGCATTTGTCATTACTACTTATATTGGACACACAATTATGGGCGGACAGAGCTGGAGAGGAGTCTTTTAGTTTCACTTTTCAATCATCACCGAATGAATGAATCTCCGAAATGGCAAGAAGATTGTTGCGGCAATAGAAAGTCGCTTAGCATTTTAAGGCATTACATTTAATCCGTATTTCGCATTCTATCACTAAAAATTAAATATACATACACACGTACTATAGTTAATACAATACATTATATATAGAAAAGGAGCATTCAATTAATGCAATTGATTTTGATTAATGTTTTCATATTCTATCTGCTTAAACAAAGCAACGTAACGTAACAATGCCTCCAGAGGAAAGCGAGAAGCACACGGTTCTATGCACCCTATTGCTTTAAAACTGTAACACTAGTTTCATCATCATTTTGGGTATGGGGAATTGGGTTATTGGTCAGAGTTCAGTGGCGAAATAGATACGTTTGTTGGGTCAGAAGTCGCCCACCGTATGCGAAACGAACTCGAACTGGCGCTCCACACTGCCGTCGATCTCCATCTCTAAGGCATCGTCAATGAAGTGCATCTCCACATGTTCACGGAACGCGTTGAACGACACCTGGCTGGAGTATAGCTTCCCGCACATGGGGCAGGTCTTCTCCATGGCATCGGCAGCGTCGGCCTTCAGTTTTTCCTGGATAATATTGATCCTAGACGGTGGGGCGGAGGCATGCCCATTGTAGCCATTGAGCGTGTCATTGTGCTCGCTGTGGTAGAGTTTGAGCTCGTTGTTGAGACTCTCATCGGTTTCGAGGCTCTTATCTGCCATTTCTGGCTTCTTGGCTGCCTTTTGGGCGCACTCCCGGCAGGGCTGCAGTGCTGTGAAAAGATAAGATAACAATAACTATAAGTTTTCCTTCAATTGATGAAACGAAATACGAGTGCTTACCAATGCGACTTTCCAGCAGCGTGAGTGCAGAGCTCAGCTCCTGCTGCTGCTTCAAGGCCTCCCGTCGCAGGTCCTGCAGCCCATCCATGCAACGTTTGGCATCCAAATTGGCATCTGGTTCACTGGACGTCGTTTCCTCCACGGGCAGGCCGTAGGGATAGCCCATCTCTGTGTCGCCGGCGCCGAAGTCGTCCAGGACTATCTCCTCGAGACTGATGTCCCTCAGGCCATCTGAGATCATCTTCTGGCGCAAGTGCGGATTTGGCGAGTGCTGTGTGAAAGTCTTGGAGCGAATAAGATTCTGATTGGCACGCGAGTCGGGTGACGCATCCTCGGCCTTTGCCGGGGCCTGTGCCAGCAGCAGCTGCTGTTGCTGCTGGTCCTTGGAGATTTGTGACAGACGCGACCACAGTCTGCGATTCTCGTTCGAGACCATGCCGATGTGCTCCTCAAGCTGCTCCTTCTGGCGCTGCAGCTCGGCCACTTGTGTGCGCAGGGATAGCGAGTCGTCGCCGCCGCTGCCACTGTCCGGCTGGACACCACTGGAGCCCTTGGCGTTGGCTTCGCGCAGCCGCTGGTTCTCCTCCTCCATGCTGGTCACCCTCCGCTGCAGCTGCATGCATCGCTCTTTGATCGTCTGCAGGGCCACTTGCAGTGCGTAGTTCATTTTTTCGCTGGATGTTGTGCTGGAGCTGGAGCTGACGGGGGGGATGGTAGTTTTAGCAGCTGTTGCCTCCATTACGCTTTACCCAGGTCCACATGCAGTTTGCACACAAATCTGCCACTTGCTTTCCAAAAATTAAATTAAAATTAAAATTTCGCTAGATTTTCCTTTTGTTGCGTTTTTTGCTTAGTGTGACCGACGAAAATGTACAAATATAAACATAAAATATACCGCCCGACCCTGACAAATATACCGAAGTGCACCGTTTGTTTTAAAAATATACCGTAAATATACTGACGAATTATTCAAGGTCTATCTTACATATTCCTCGTTTTTTATATTCCGTCGAATATTACTAGCTTAATAAAACCCTCAGTCCTGCCCACATAATTTTATCGAATAAATGAACCAACTTTGTACTTTACTGGCTTATTTTAAATACTTGCTTTTACTGGATTTCTTTTCCCATTCTTTAGCTTTGAAAATGAAATTAAAAAAATTGATGAAATTTATAAAATATACCATTATATACCGATATACCGTAAATATACCACCAACTCAATCTCGACTCAAAAATATAGCGAAAAGTATATAAAATATATCACAGTGGCTCTAACATATCGTTCCAAAACCATTGATGTCGGCGATAGTTTCACACCACCAGCACAGCTGTTTTTGTTTACCTCTGCGCGCATATTATCCAATAGCTTTTAATTATGCTTTTCGGGCGGAAATTAGTTAATAATTTTTATAAATACAAGAGAAAAGCGTTTCAAAGTGTGTGTCTCAAAATTACACGATCTATTTCAACCCGCGAACCTTCCAGAATACTGTTTTTCGGTACCGACAACTTTTCGCTGCCCAGTCTTCAGGCCCTTCATAAAAATTGCAGGTTTTTAAGCGTTTTTAAAAGAATATCTGAATAAACTCTAATACTTTGATACTTCGTAGTCACAACTTGGGCGTGGTTACATCCTTCAAGAGTCCCGCCAACTGTGTGAGAACCTATGCAGAGCGGGAGAAACTCCCCTTGCAGCGGTGGCCTATTACAGAGGACCAATGCACGGACTACGACCTGGGTGTTGTGGTCTCTTTTGGTCACATGATTCCAGCTCAGATTATTAATGCCTTTCCCCGGGGAATGATCAACGTGCATGCCAGCCTGCTGCCTCTCTGGAGAGGAGCTGCACCCATCATCTATGCAATTATGAAGGGCGATGCGAGAACAGGTGTATCAATTATGAAAATTGAGCCACATCATTTTGATATTGGTGCTGTAAGTGATTGCGAAAGATAAGAGAAACGTATGTGGACAATATATAGTAACTCTTTTTAGGTCCTGGCTCAGCGTGAAGTACCTATTCGAAGGGACATCTACATGCCAGAGCTGCATGCCTCCTTGTCTCTGTTGGGAGCCGATTTGCTGGTCGATACTGTAAACAACCTATCCGACAGGCTTAAAAATGCCAAGCCACAGGAAAATGCAACTGCCAGCTATGGTACGTTTTAGACCTTTTATCATAAACTCGTGAATCCGATATGATCTTTATTTTTATGCAGCTCCAAAGATCACATCCAAAATTACAGAGATTCTGTGGACAGAACTAAGCGCCGACGAGCTGTATGCCAGGCATCGAGCTCTGTATGGCTACAAAAATCTTACAACAAGCTTTCTGGATAAGCAAATACAACTCCTGGAGCTCCGGTTGCCTGAGAAGCACCTGACGGTGCAGGAACCAGGCCATTTCAGCTACCAACGCTCGCGGAAGTCCCTCCTGATAGGTTGTGCCCAGGGCACACAGCTAGAAGTGCTGCAGGTGCGCGTGGAAGGACGCAAACCAATGAGTGCCCAGGATTTCAGCAATGGATTTCTGCGGCAAGCGAGATCGTTGCAATTTACACACAATAAACAAGTTGCCTGTTGATAACAAAGTAGGTTTTAATGCACAATGTGACCTAATATCTATGCCAGATCGGAGGGTTTAACCTCCTTGGCTTCCGACTGCTGCTGTGTGGATTTCTGTAGTAGATTTTTGGTGAACCACATGGGACGTGGCTTTTTCATTTCCACAATTCGTTTGCCCTGCAGTTGCTCGGCAGTCTGTTCGGCCTTCTCTCCCTCGTACAGCACAATAACCTCCTTGTCGACGGGATCCAGACCGAGCTTCTCTTGGATTTTCGCCTGCATCTGCTCCGTTTCCTTCAGCACCTTGTTGTAGCAGAAGGCTGTTGGAATATACTTAATTAATAGGAATCCCCTTAGACTTTCTTTGCAACTTACGACACAGCACACCCAATTCATGGTCATGACCGCATGTCTGGCACGAGCGGATGTTTCGCTTCACTTTGAGCGGCTTCCACACGTACTCAGGATAGCCGAATTTGCGGTTCAGACGCTTCTCCACGGAACGCCTGTGCTTGGGCACGGCCCAGAGCATTCCATCGCCAATCAGCTTCTTCAGACTGAATTCCTGTGCCCTGTTGTTATTGCTGGTGCTGCTATGTTCGTGCTGGAAGCCGGCCAGGGCCAGCGCTGGGAATTGGAGCAATATTTAACTTTGTTTCGCCGCACTTCGGCTGCCACTCACCTGGTGGATGTCCGCCATATGGCAGAAAAAGACGCTCCAAACTTCTAACAAAGTTTGTAAGTGATAAAATCAAGTTTTTCGACATTTTTTAAAAATTGTTGGATTTACATAAACGGATGGGCACCAGTGTGACCGCGGATTTATCGTTAAAGTATACCGTCCGACCCTCAGAAATATACCAAAATATACCGTCTCATCTTAAAAACTGATGAATTCAAGTTCAATATTCCTCGATTTTGATATTCCGTGGAATATTTCTAGCTATCTATAACTCTCAGCCCTGCCCACATAATTTGAACCAATTAATGAACTCTTTTTCTACTCTGTTCTGTTCAAACAGCTGTTCGGCCGGCCCTATCGAAAAATACCACGTGCAACGTTAGCGGCTTACGTTCTTGGCCGCTTGCGCTACGAAATTTCGCACGTTGCTGCATCCCTGGCCAACAGCTGGCCACTGTTACGTCAAAATAGAGTAGTGAAAAGGTTAAATTAAATAAAACTATAACAGACCGCGACACTCGTACTGCATGTGACATCTGCTTTTAAACTACGTGTGGACAATGATGATTACGCCCAGCCTTAGTGTGAAATAATGGCCGCGTACTAGGCGGCCCTTATCATCCCCCAGCGAATAAACCCTTGGCACGGGTCAAGTCAGGAGAGCCGCAAAGTTCCCACGATTGCGTCCATACAGTTGCTCTAAAACTGCACGGCGGATGTGCAACTGTCGTGTGTTTGCATCCGCCTAAACGCTGAACGCTCAAGTTCAAGCCGAATGCAGATCGTGCCTTGGCTGGCTTGCGATCGGACTAAGCCCGAAAGCCCGAATTCCACCACGAAGACGAACGACTCTTTCACCACAGTTGGCGCGCAGGCGCTCAAGCCAGCTCTCGGGTGGCTCCAAAGCCACTAAAGCTCCACTTTGCTGGAGCTGCTGGAGCCAGACGCAAGCCAAACGCGCTTCGCTGCCGCCTCATATAAAAACCTTTGCCTCGTTCCGCCGTAGATCTAGCGTTTGAAGAAGTGTAACTGACAGTCGACCGACCGCTTGTTTCGGGCGTGAGTGTGAATCGATCATCGCAAATATCCTGCGAGAACCCAAAAAAATAAAAATAAACCAGAACCAGAATAAAAACCAAAGGAAGAATGCCCTCAAATAATCAATGAGCTGCACATCCTCCTAATTTCTGTGTGTTTTTGTGTGTGTGTCTCGATCGTTTCTTGCACCTGCACTTCCTCTTTAACCAAACAAACGAAATATATAAAAGAAAAAACCAAAAAATTCAGTACAACAAAATGGCCTGCATGAGCACTTCCGGTCGCGTCGTGTGCGGTTCGCGTCGCCAGCAAACGCACAAATTCCTGTGCCAACTCTTTGGACGACAGTCAGGATATGCCACGGCGGTCTCCAGTTCGGGTTCGGTTTCGGGTGCGGGATCCCAGCTGCTGCCCATCGCAAACACACAACAATACCAATTGGTGCGTCGCTTTCATGGATTAAGCTTCAACCTGGGCAAGGATTATCTCGATTTGCTGGTGAGTTCAATGTTTGGCTCGAATCGGATCCGGACATCGGATCGGATCGGATCGGATCGCGGGGTCTGTGGCCAAGCCAGGCCACAACCCGTTAAGCAGGCGTTGGCCAAAAGTGCATTGGCAGCGCGCGCGCGCTCTCAAGTCGATGCCGTGGAGGCGATGCCTTTTTGCGCATGCGCCACGAGTTTGCCGCTAATGCGTCTGCGTGACTTTGGCTTTTGCCTGCTGCCTGCTGCCTGTTGCTGCTGCCACTGCTGCTGCTGCAGCTTGTGGCATGCCTTGTCTTTGTCCGCTTTTCATTTCGCGCTGCAAAAGCCAAAAAGAAAATGAAAGTGAAATTGTTGGCCATTGCTTTTGTGCAAGTAGCGTGAAAAAAACCAAAGGCCGAAGACAGCCCCAACAAATTCCAACAACAACTTGTGGCAGTAGCGCGCCCACTGTCTCGCTGTTGTTGTTGGCGGAAGCTGCCGCATTTATTTATTATTTTGCTTACACTTTTGATACCCTTACAAGAGGTATTACGTGGCGTCTATGAACGAAGAAGATATGCGTGCGTTCGATCATATTTATGGAGTCATATTTATGTCTGTTAACAGATTCAGTGATAAAGGACCTTCGGTTTGAAAAGCAACACTTTGAGAGATATCTCAACAGATATTTCAATAGCGTCCATTGAGATGCTAGAGTATCAAAATCTTCGCCCACTGAAGCCATATTTTCTTCTTGTTTTTGCCTTTTTAACGAAACGCCTGTTTCTGTGTTTTTTCCTTGCATTTTTGCAAGGTGAAGTCTCCTACTCCATCTATCTACGAGTATCTCTCTCTCTGCTGCTTGTCTCCTCTTTCTTTACCCCTAATTATGTCTCTTTCTAGTCTGACTGCCCGTTTGTCATTAATTTTTTTTTATACCGTTGACAAGTCTCTGTTTCTGTCTCTGTCTCTTGTCTCATGTTTTTCTTCCTTGCACATTTTCTTGTTATGTCATTTTCGTTAGTTACATAGAAATATCTCTGTTTATTGCTACCATTTATCAATATTTATGGGCACTGCTTGTTGATTTTTCGCGCCTTATTTTATGAGGGGGGGGAAACAGCTGATTAGGCTTCAATGCTTCTGAAACTGTACGGAAACTCTGACCTGCGCAGAAATCTGAAGTGGAACCACACTGCTGTTCCCCCATTTTTCGTGTTTAACATCTGGATTTGTGTTTGCTTATCAATTGGGAGAACGATTGCTGATAGGAACGCTCAATATTTAATTTGTTTTATTAGAAATTGCATCACTCCGTAACAGGGGGAAAGCTAGAAACAACAACAGAAGAGTACTCTGTGAAATTTGTGTTATCTTAGCAGCAATCGATTTCGAATGGGGAGGGAGACTCAGGATTACTCTAATCGGAATTACTATAGAAAATTCCTAAAGCTATCATTTCATTATTGTTTCCTTTTTTGTTATTCCCATATGAATGTTTTATGCTGGGAACATCGTATTGTATAGCCTCTTCTCTGCCATTATATGTGTAACTAGAGGCATTCCAGACCATTGTTATTGAATGTTCGAATTGTTAATGGTAGTTAATCCATTCACCTTGAGATTAATTGCTTACATGCCCGCCTTGACTATTGCTCGAACCACAATTAGTGCATCAGTTTTCCACTGGTTTTTAGTGTTTTTCTTTAGAGTTTATATAGTTTTATGGCACGCCATTTATGTATGTATGTCTCCTCCCCTCCTCAAGCGAAGGAGCCCCCCTTCCCTGACAAGGCTTTGATTAAATTGCTTTAGCATTGCGAATGCAATAACTAATTTTCTGTGCAGTATTGTAGGCCTTCTGTAGGCATTGGCCATAATGCAATGGTTATCCATGTGCGGAATATCTGTGGCCACATTTCAAGGCCCTGGCATAAATATTTGCCGTGTGCAGGATAGTTTTCAAAAGGTGATAATGTGTTAAAGGGTTAAGTGCTCATTAAACCCCACTTTTAATGGTTGATCTTTTTTTTTTGACACTCGGCAGCAGAGTACGGCCCTGCTCCGGGGGTTAGCGGGTCTCTAGATCGCCCCGGAATAAAGCCAAGAATTAATTATATTATTGTTTATTATTGTATATTAAATAAAAGACGTGTGCGTTTCATTAGGGTGCTGTCTGGGGTGCTTTCGAATATAAAAGATAGACAAAAATTGAGGAAAAAGTAAATAATAATTTTGTATGCAGTTGACGTTGGTTTTTGTGTTTCAAATAAAAATTCATTCAACGCCAAATTGGTTTTATGCCCAACACACAACCCCACACACACACACACACACACAGGCGCAAAGAGAGAGACACAGATACAGCTGGAAACTGATACGTTCATCTATCATAGGTAAACAATAAACAAAACGCAAATAGAAAGCGCACGTCGCAGCGCAGCAGCAGCAGCAGAGCCAACAGAGACGCTTGGCCAAGAGACGCTTTTGGCCAAAAAAAAAAAAACGAAAAAACAAAAAACGCCAACTAATAATAGTCTGCAATGGCAGAAGCAACGGCCAACAGCAACAGAAACAGCTAACAGCTAACAGCCATAGAAGAAATTCACTTTTAACCGTTTCTTTGACTTTCTTCTTCATTTCATTTGGCCAAAAGCAAAGAGAGCTCTCCTCTCTGCCGCACTCCACTCTCCTCACTCTCTGCCCCTGCCTCTGCCTCTGCCCCTGTCTGGCTATTGTCTTGCGTCTTTATCTATGCCCCACACGAATTTGGCAAGCAACTTATTGGCCAGGTTTTAGTATTCGTTATCGTTGACTGGTATATCTTTTGACTCGAATTAGTTTCCAAAACGCTATGCCCCTTC